ACCATATTTGGAGATGTATCTTGGGCACTAGTGATTTGTGTAAAGTTCAATAGGTGATTCCAGTGTGCAATTAGCATCCAGTATCACTGCTTATTTTGACACCAGATATCCTAGATCTTTGATGAGAAAGATGAGGCTCAGAGAAGTTAATAATATTCTTGTCCAAGATTGTAAAGGAAGAAGGAAGAGAAGCCAGGTATTGTGAATCCTGATCTAGGTCTTTCCACTGTACCAATTTGCTTCTATACTCATGATGTGATCTGGAAACTTCAAGAAATAAAAGCTTTTTGAAAATTACAAAGCACTGAAGTAAGGTTGTCAGTGGCCAGACTAACACCAGAACACAGACTACCTGATGGCAGTCAAGTCTCCATAGTCCCAAGGGGAAAATGCCATTGTATTTGGTAAAAAGGAAGATGGCTTCTTATGCAAGAACTCAGTTTTCTTAGCTGTAAAGTGAGATAGGAATGTATTGCCTAGACATTCTTTCCTTGAAAGAACATTAGCATTTGGTGAGGAAAGAACTTGCCATTTTGTTTCTTAATTAGGATAAGTTGAGTTTTGAGATTTCATTGAAAGATGTTCATGCTCATTTCTGTAGGGTATTGCTGACTCTCTCTGAAGTCTATATTAGGGTGTTATTGAACAAATAACCTGAATAGGGCTATAAAAGATGCAAGATAAAGTAAGGAAAATCAGTGGATATGTATGTCAACTTTCACACCTGTGGCATCTCCTTGACTCCAGGGGCAGTCCAATATACTCTGAGGATACTCTGACCATTAGGAACTCTTTCTGTAGCTGAGACTAAGTCCATTTCCTGTAACTCCCAGAATGGATCCTGGTCTTAGTCATACAAAAAGCTAGTACAAAAAGCTAGCACCATTTCCCCAGGATGGCCCTGAAGATCCTTCTTCAGGCTGAATCAACTATTTTGCAGGGGACCTGCTTTTCAGTCTCCTTTCCAATGTGCTTGCTGCTCCCTAGCCTGGATCTATTTTAAAGGGACGATAAGTAACTCTTTCTCCTCTTCTCCATTTTTGCAGTCCGGTCTGGAGTAGTGATTTCTACTAACTCAGAAAGACAGGTTGGCTTTCCCAAAGGTATAGCAGGTATAGCTGTAAAGCATTCTTTTTTTAAAAAAAAGTTATTTTGGCTTTATAAGAAGGTAGAGAACTGCTTGCCTGCTATTTTCCTGACCATCATGCATCATGACCTGGTTACCAGTGAGATAGGTAATGTAAAGGCTTTGGATTCAGGCAGACCCAGTTCAAATCCTGGTTCTGTCACTTATAGGAGCGTGAGCAAGTTATGTAATCTTTTAAAGTCTGAGTTCCTCTTTCAGAAGGCCCTACCTGAGAGGGCCATTATAGTAATATAGAAAGTATGAAGTGTGCTTAACATAGCATATGCTCAGTACATGGTGACATGTGCTCTTATAGCCATTATGATCATTATCCCAGCTATTTGAAAGAAAGGTGACAGAGATTAATTTTCTCCACCTGTCAGTGTTTCTCCACAGAAACACTGTTAAAGTGTTTCTTCATTCAGAGGCACCCTACATGCTGGAGGTGACTGTAGGTGTTGAAATAATGATTGGAGCTTCAATCAAAAGAACACAAGTCCACTGGTTTCTTTGCCTTCCTTCAACCCTTTACCATAGAGATGGTGGTTACTCTCTGAAATGCCACAATTAGAACTTTGTTAATTTATTTGAGATCTCTGACCCCTGTTAATATGCCAAATTCCTTGGGAAAGAAAACATTTGAAGTTGTTCTTAATCATCGGTATCTAAATGTCAATAAATGTCAGATCCTTTAGAGAAAGCCCATCTTGCTGGAGTGAAAGAAAAACTTGCAGGAAAGAATGAGAGGATCATGTGGTGTGGGACCAGGATGATCTATGTTTAAGCATGGTCTAAACTGGTTTTGGCTGTGACTCCGCACATCACAGATACACCTAGACTCCACCTAGACACTCCCCAGAGAAGACTGGGGGTGTCTGGAAGATATACCCTGTGAGCCATCCAGTCCTCTGGAGGTACTGTGACCACTGTATGTCAAGCCATGCTCCCTATGCAGTTGGAACGGTGGCCCTTGAAAACCAATATTACTCGGGTTTTTTGCTTTGTTTTGTTTTGTTTTTGTTTTTTGTTTTGGTTATCCTGTTTGAATGAATAACTCACGGTGAACTAGTTTAGCTGAAATGACTCATTTGAGCTGTTTGTGAATCAGGAATGGTGGTTACCATTAAAAATGTTCAGCAATAAGGAAATAACATAACCTTTAGAGCTTTGGCTTCAGAAATGGCACAAAAATGGAATGGACAAATATGAAAAGTAGATAATGGATCCACAGTGATTTAATTCTTGGTGATACTTTCATTTTATGCAAATACCAAAAGAAAAAAAAAACAAACCCTGGCTACTTGAAAGAAAAACAGGAACCAAAAAAATATTTAGTGTTTGATCAAGCAAAAATCCTTTCACACATCTGTCAAGAGAATTAAAACAAATATAGATGTTAAATAAAAGGCCCAGGTACCAAAGAGCAAAATTTAATGAAAGCCAGAACTGTTAAGTATGGATTCCTGTTGAGAAAAATGTCAATCTCTTTCAGAGTTTTCCCAGTACTCTATTTTTAAGAAAAGTGTAGTAAAAATACATAATACAAGTTAACTTTTTTCTTGCTTTTGTTTTCCCCTGTCACCCCTCTATTGATAAAAAGCATCTTCTGTGGAGTCTTGGACCCCCACACAGCATATACTCTCATTGTTAGCTTAGATGGTCTCTCCCTATCAGATCATGTTAGTGGTGAGCTCGGTGGCTGGAGAGGCATCTTACCAAAGGAAAAGGTCTTTGAAGCATGTTGATAGTAAGAGGGATATTTCTAACTCCTCTGAAATGCACTCCCTAATGACAGGTCATATCATATTCTGCAGTGGTAGGCTAAGGGCTGACAAAAATCTGGTGGGAGGACAGGGGATGGGGAGGACATCAGCTGGCAGTAGTGAGAAGTAAAAGATCCATCTTGAGGGTCCTGCTTCACGTACCATGCCCACATTGACACGTGAAAAGACTGAACAACACTTGAGTTGAAAGGGCATAGAGTTTGATTTGGGGATGGTTCTTTGCTACGGCTGATACTAGAAGAATGGGGGAGACATAGAGATGGTGGGTGTCCACTGAGAGAATCCACAGATGAAGCCAATCATGCTGCACCTACTTGTTGGTAGGCTCCCAAACCTTTAGTTTGTCAGTTGCTAATGATAACCCCTAGCAGAGAAGACTGGAGAGATGTAGGGGGTAAGGAAATAAGCCAGAACATGGTTATCAATAAAAGCTAAAGACACATGGCACGCACTGAATCATGCACCTAGGAGAGTGGCTGCTGGACAGCTGGAAGCCAATTGCACCAAGAATGAGAGTTGGGATCTCCAAGAAAGCTATGTACCAGGAACCCCCTTTCCAACTAAAGTTGCAGTCAGCCTGAGCCTCTCTCTATGTACCCTGTCACTTCTCTAAACTTGCTTTAGTTCAGCTTTATAGTCACAATCATGGGCATATTGAGTCTGGTCATTGGAATAATACATCCTCATTCTGTCTCAGCCAGGGGGAAGGTCAGCCTTCTTGCGTTAGAAGTTGGGGTCAGTGATCTTAAGGTCCCCAATGTCATTATCAACTTAATTCATCTCCTTGTTTTCCTTAAAGTAATTCAGCCTTGGGTATTTTACTTTCTAAAGTGGCCACATGCTGAAACAACATTTTTATATGGACATAAAAATCCAAGTTCTCCAGGTCAGCAAAACTCTAAGCTGACTTGGTCTTTTAATCCTAGGACAGTGCACACCATGGAAGGTTCTGTTGCTTGTGGGCTTCAATGATGCTTCCTCTTCCAAAATTCTTCCATCCTTTTTTTTTTTTTTTTTTTTTTTTTTTTGCATTCAGTTTGCATAGCATTTTCCCCCATATCAGAGGCTCCAAAGAGAGTCTACTCCACAGTGGGGTTCCTGCTCAGATGTCAAGCAAATGAAAAGTGACAATCATGGGCAATATCTCCCGGGCTGTCAGTTATTCCCAAGGCTGTACTTGGTTCAGGAGGCCAATTCATCCACCAGAGTGCCTTTGGGCTTGAGCATAGCAGAAAGACATACTGCTCAGTGCTGAGGCTGACTCTGTGAAGAAACCACCTAAGGTCTATGGGATGGCTGTTACGCATTAAAGGAAGCTCTCTCTGAGACTCCAGCAATAACTTTGTGAGTCCTCCTCTGACTGCACACCTGCCTTTGTCCTCTCCACCACCCTTGGTCTGAATTGCTTTTTGCACATGTTCTCAGCTACATCAGTGTCTAGGAGGTGCCCTTCCTGGGGAAGGCAGTCCACTTCTCCAACAACATCCATCCTCATCCATGTCTTGGGGTCGAGAAATGGAGGGTAACTTAGAGAGCTCCCATAGCGAATTAGTTTGAAGGTTGCCTTTTTCCTTTTGCTTGCTTGTAAAGTGGAGCGAATCTTTAATCTCCAATCTGAAAACTGAAGAGACATGGGTAGGGAGTTGGGAATAAGAAGCCAGGAGGAGGAAGGGGTCTAACAGAACCTTCAAACCATGGATATTAGTAAGAAAGAAAATCTTGCACACACTAAGACACATTAACAAATGAATTAAAAGAAAACAGTACAGTTTCCTCATTAATGTTCCTATGACTCCATTTTCAGAGACACAGGCTCTGTTCAACAGGGTTATTCTCCCCTTATTGCGGTGCAGTGTTATTTATCATCCTCACATAGCAAACGGAAAAGGGTGAAAGAACATCAAAAAAGGAAAAGGGACGGCAAAATGATTTTTCAATTCTTCAGGAAAATCTGGTGAATCATCTGATCCTTGTGGTCATGGTGGTTGGTGGCGGTTGCGTTTCAATTTTACTGTTTTTGGCACTGAAGGGCTTGGTATGGAATTGGGGGAGCTTGAGCTTGCTCCCCAAGGGGTCTCCATCTGCTCCAGTTACAATCCTGTGGCTCCCAAGGGCATCCCTGAACTGTGGCTCATGCAGGGAATCGACTGCATGGACTTGGGGAAGTCATGGCTGACCACCCGGCCGTTTTCTCCACTGCCGCCACCGCTGGTTCCTGCCCCACTGTTTCGCGGGAGTGTTGATGTCCGTATGGCTTCATTGATGGATTGCTGTGGGATCAAACAGAAACCCTTTTCAGGAGGACCGGGGGTTCTTCCCCAGGTCCTTGGCAGTGACTGGTAAGGAGAATGAGTCAAAGCTGGACTTAAAATCTCACTCCACTTCTCCTCCCCACCCAACCCCTTTCCTTATCTGGAATGCTAACCTTGGCTTCCCATGAACTCACAAAACAGCTGTGTGGCTCTGGACAAGTCTGATCTCATCTCTGGACCTCCTGTTCTCTCTGTGTAATGAGGTGTGTTAGACTGGGTGGTCACTAAGATCCTTTCTAGTTTTTATATTCTGTGATTTCTAAAGATAGAAGTATTCCATGGTAGTATTAATGGTAATAAATGTAGCAACATGATCAAGTGGAAAAGCTCTAGAAAGGGGTTTGGGAAACTTGGGATTTTAGTTCTGGTTCTGACATCAACTAGTTGTATGACCTTGTGCATATCTCCTTACCTCTCTAAACCTTTAAAATCTCCATGTTTGTAAAATGTGATAATCTATGCACCTGCAGACTTTTGTTAGCAAGAATGGTGCTACTGCGTGAAAAATGATTTGAAATGTTAAAAAAAAAAAAAAAGAAGTATGTTACTGCTGAGTTAAAATTTAAAACTACCTCTGATTTGATTTAGGAAAAATTCTTTCCTGCCTCTAGTAGTATGTGTTATGGGAATATAGGACTTGTTTGAATAATAGTAAAAATGTAATTGGAAAGACGCATGTGCTAAAGAAAATGAGAATGCGTTCCAAAGATCATTATCTGAAGGTCAGCTTCTTCCCAACAGCACATATAACCTGACTTCTAGACTGACACATCAGTTCATTGCTATTAAGCTTGTGATTTCCAAAATATTAGACTTCTAGATATGAAAAGGACTCCGGTGATCCCCTAAGGGTCAGATGAGTGAGGTAGAATGTTCAAGACCACAACCTGGAATTAGAACCATATCTTATTAGATAAGAAGAAAGGTTCTGTTCTGAGTTCCTTTGGAGAAAGAAGCTTCATGACATGAAATCCAAACCTGTCTCTCTTCTTGTCACTTTTAATTTCCTATTAAGAGATACTCATAGAATTTTTGAGGTGGGGGTTGATTTCTTGGGAATCATATATAGGAGAATTGTCTATGAGTTGAGAGGTGTCTGAGACCAATTGTACCAATCCTTCAATTCTGTTCTCACCTCCTTCTTGAAGCCATCCTAGACTGTACCATCAAGTGTTTGCCCCCTTCAGCCTAGTACTCCTACATTACACATGCTTTTGTAATGGTTCTGCTTCAGGTTTGTGGGTTTTCTCTTCTTTAAGAGAGCTGTCTGGAGGAGGGCAGGGTTCATTTTTCCCCCAGTCTATAGCTGTCTCCCATAGTACCCAGCATGTAGTTAGATGCTGAATAGATATCCTTAAATTTGTGTAAAAAAAAAAACAAAAACAAAATCCAACCACCTAGAACCCTTCTCAACAAGTTTATGAATTTTCTTCTCTGCATATTTCCATGATCCTAGTGATCAGAGAAGTCAGTCACTCTCTGGTGGCCAGATAGACATAAACAGCAGTTTGACCTAATTCTTATTCTTTGTACTATACTATGCTGGAAGTATTATTACTAGCAATTCTGACAGTGTTTTTTTTAAGAGTTCTTTTTAAAATCCCTGATTCAGACAGATTTGCCCCAAAGGATGCTCTACCCACACTGGTTCTGCCTCCTCCTCAAGCCTCCGGACTTGATTTATTTATATTCTGCCTTGATTGTCCTCCACTCAAGAGGAAATGTGCCCTGGATTGCATTCTTCTAAGTGAAGGCCAAATAAAAACTACTGTGATGCTCTATGGGTGAAATGTGAAAAGAAAACCCAAGGAATTAATGGTTATTTATTCTCACTTATGCTTATTTGTGTGTTTGGGAATGAGGAAACATTCTATTGATTAACTTGGGATGTTTATCTTTTATGATTTTTCTCTACCACATCCCTTTAATTAAAAAATAAAGTTTAAAGTTCACACAGATAATCCTGGGCTTTGTTTCTAAAAAAGTCTCACATATTCCCATAATATTCTATTGAAGTTGGTGATACTTGATGACTTTATCTTAAAGGAGAAGATTGGTGGCATAGTAAATATTGGTGCCGATCAAAGTCTGAGATAGCTAGGCATGTAGCTAAAACCCTCCATGTTCACACCACTCAGAAATGGTTTTCTTGGAAGTTAAGGGCTTCTCCAAGGTCAATAACTCCATAATCCTACTGACAGTGAGTGCTACCTGCTTACCGGCTTCTTTTCTAAGACACTTATGGGATCTCAGGAGAACAGATGAATGGAGTCAAAACTTTGGAGTGGAAAGCAATACTACAAATGACTAGATCATTAGTTCTCAAATTTGACTGCACAATGGAGTTATCTGGGGAGTTTTCGGGGGAAAAGCACTGATGCCTCAGATATACCGTCAAAGATGTTGACTTACTAGGTGTGATGCATGGCCTGGACATCTGGGCTTTTAAAAACTCCTCAGGTGATTCTAATGTGCAAGCAAGGTTGAAATACACACATCTAGTTTATATCCTTCACTTTATAGAGAAAGTGAGGACTTCGGACCAACTGACTTAAGGTTGTAGTTATCTGTCACCTAGTGTCAAAGTGGATGACCTTCTAATTGTACCCTCTGTAGCTAGGCTATCATAAGCTGATGTCCTTCTTCCCCTTGCCTCTAGGAAATGAAGTTCTCCCTCGTCCATCCTTGACATACCAGCCATTCTTAAAGTTCATCCTTACAGTTGTTTTTGAAGCTGATACCCAGGGAGAAAAGTGTGAGTTAAAAGTCCAAACTCCAGCACCCCCAGGTTAACTCTTGAGAGACTCATTTCTCTAACAGTGTTTACATCCAAACTCCCCAGCCACTTGCTTTTCTAAGAAAAGTCTTCCCAGACTCTGCACATCCTAGAACATCCTAATAAAAGCTCAAACCTCAGTGATGACCTCCTACTAGCATGTGTGCTAAGAGCCAGAGTGACTGCCTGCTGTGGAGGACACACCCCTGTGTTACCAAGTCTCTCAGCTGCTTGATAATTCTAGGCAAACATGTAAAGCTTCAGCTGCTGTGGCTTAAATACAGTTCATGTCAGTATTGCCACATACAATTGTTTTCCACAGGGAGAAATATGGGCAATAATACAGACCCTGGTTGTCTTTAATGTCAGTGAAGGACTCAGTTTTGGTCTGTTTCTCCAGGCAGAGGAAAGGGGATCTGAGACTTCAATCTGGAGCGTGTCTTAGGTTATGTATCTTTGCAACTATATGACCACTTAAATCTTACTCAAATGGTGTGGTTGTCAGAAGTCCCTTTCTGAGTCCCCACTTCTCATGTGTTCTCTTCTTCCTGAAGTCTTCTTATGCTCTGGTGAGCGTGGACTTCTTCCTATTTCTGGGCATAAGTTCTAATCTTTGGGTGTCTCACACATGGGCATCCTTTGCAGGCAATGCCTTTCCCCTGGTTAATTCCTTCCATACTTCAAGTCTGCTAGATACCAGTTTCTCAGGAGAACCTCTCTGATCTGTCCCAGCCCTCATTCCCTCAACAGGACTTGACAGTCCAGCATTTTTCTTCAAACACTCACTGAACATGTAAGTATCTATTTACTTTCTGTCTTCCCATCATACTTGTAGCTTCTTGAGAACAGAAGCTATGTCTGTTTTGTTCCTGGGTATGTCCCCAGTGCTGAGCAATGCCTCATACAGTGGTGCTCAGTATGTCTTTGTGGAAGGAATGCCTCCAGGATGATTTCCCACTGTCCTGTGACACCTATTGTGTGTCTTGTTCCTATGACATATCAAAAAGGAAAGGGGTTCGACAACACGCAAGCAATAGATTACTAATCATGGATGGCCTCAACAACTACCTCAGGAAAACCTAAGGATAGGGCTGCATCTTATTTGTCTATGTACTGTGGCTGCCACTTGAGGACACACATGGTAGGTACTCAGAATGATCTTTTCCTGCATTGGAAGTCTAATTCCTGTTTTTCCAGCTCCTAGCTTGTGTGACCTTACTAGGAAAACTACTTAAGCTTCTTTGAATACCTATTTCTTCATCTGAAGAATTGTAAGCACAACACATTACAGGGTTAATGAAAATGTATATAAAGTACTTTGAACATGGAAGTTACTAAAAGATGTCATCTTCCCTTCTTTTCTTCTTCTTCCCTTTTCTACCCCCCTTCCTTTTCTTCTTATCTCTTCTTTGCACAGTGGGGAAAGGCTCTTTGACCATGGTTGAGAAATTGGGGGTTGGCCCTAAACTATGTTTAGGGGCTCAAGATCTTAAAAGTTGGCCAAACACAGTGATCAAGGAAAGGAACAGGAAGGAAGTTTCTCACCAATGGCCTGTGACACTGTTAACATGTCTGTAAAGAGCTAACTGCCTCTGGGGAAGGCTAATTACAGAATAATAAAGAAAACTATCAAGTTGTGAACTCATCTGAGAGGCAGGTTGATAGTGTTCTACTTTTCTCCTTTGGATAAGAGAGAAGTTGGTGGGGCTTCAGAACTGAAGGGCTGGGTTGATTAAGAAAGACAGTAAAAGTATCTTCTCTGCAGTTGGAAGATTAAAACATCTATTAGGAACCTTGATGAGTTGGGCAGAAGTTGTGTTGAACAATGGAATTAATTATAAAATATTGTGGTGAAAGATCCTGATGAATGAGTCTAAGAGATCCTAATGTTGGCTTCTGAGAAATTTGACATCTTTGTAAAGGAAAGGGTGCGAATGTCCCCCAACAAGTTATGGCATGACTCAGTGGCCTCTTCTAAGGATTCTTGTCTTAACCTGAATGTTGTGATTTCAGTGGTGAAAGCCAACTGTCTAGTTTTAAGAGGATCCCCGTCTTTAACCACCCTGGTACCGTTACCTGGCACTGACCATGATTATTGGGACACGGTAATCCCATGGGAAGGGTCAGAGGTCCAAGAAGTTCCTGCTTGATGGATGCCTGCTCTCATGTGATTTTATGAACACAAACAGATGGGGCCAGAACCACCTTGGACGATGATGTTTGTGCTTCCAGCCTGGGTGGTTTTGATGGTCGTATTTGTTTACCCAAATAGCAGCTCTCCCCCATGCATCACTTCATCCTTCAAGAGTTTTTCTCTTCTGGGGACAAGTCTACATAATTTTACTGATAATTATCCTATGTGTGTGGAATGTCCAAAGAGAAATTAGACATACTTCTTACCTTAAAGAACTCACAATCTACATAGCTCAAAAAACCTAGGACACGTAAGTAGGGGCAGTAAAAGGAAAGTCTTAAAAAGACTGTAGCTGATCACTAATGGGAAAAATAATTATTATTATAAATAGTAGTTATCAGTGTGAGTATTGTTATTTATTGAGAGCTTATTATGACCCAGGAATTTTGACAATCCCTTTATGTCCATTTATCACACAATGCTCACAATAATTTTATGAGATATGTCCTACCACTAGCCCCATTCTATAGAAAATGAGGATCAGAAAGCTACTGGAGCTTGTCCCAGATGACACAGTTGGCAAATAGAGCAGGCAGAATCTATGCTCAGACAGTCTCTAGAGCCTGTGCTTTAGGCCACCACACTGCACTGTGCTTTCGGGGACCAGTGAGAAGGAGATCCTGCGATATGTAGCAGGCCAATCTTGAACCCTTGGTTTGGGTCATAGTTCACATGGAAGGTTTTGGGGTGTTATAAAGGTTGTAGTTCACCTAGCTTTTTTTCTGTTCTCCTCTGCCTCCAGAGTGGGCTTTCCTCACTTTGGAGAATTTTTGGGCTTATGTTTGGGTGGAATAGGCAAAGAAATCTTTGTTTAGGTTCTAGGAGACCTTATTGTGCTTGTCAAGCTCTTTGGAGGTCTACCCTGGGTTTAAGGTCTGAGGCCCATGCTTTTGCTCTGCTTTGTCCTTTCTGAGAAGACCTGGTGTGGGTGAGCTGGTTAAGGGTAGGAATGAGGTGTTCCTAGGTCCGCTGGCTAAATACCATCATACTACCATCCCTTAATTGTTCCTTGTTATTGTATCTTGGTTACATTGCCTTTTAAATGGGCCCTATGGGCAGAAGATGGGGAGAGAGATTAGCCTGCATTAAGGCACATGGGTGGGAAGCACAAGGTGGGTGGCTAGAGTACGGAGTATGTAAGAGCAGATTGCTTGGGAGGGGAAAGTAGGCTGGAACCATGATGTGGAAATGCTGAATGCCAGGACAGAAGGTCTGAATGCCAGGACAGAAGGCCCTCCTCCTCCAACTCCCACTCTCTGTGTACAGAACTGAATACAGAGTTTCCAAACAGGGGAAGCAAATGTCCAGCAATGTCTTCTCCAAGAGCGACCCTGGAGATATGTGTAGGGCTGTTGCCCCAAGGCTGAGAGTGGCTAGGCAAGAGGCTATGGTCGTGATTCAACAGTGGGTATATACTGAGGTTATATAGGCTTCTCAGGTCACATTCTAGGAGAGCAAATCCTACCAATGAATCTTCTTAGTCTGGTCAAACCAACGTAACAGCCTAGGGTACATTGCTCAGTGACTGCATTTCCCTCCACTTTTGTTGGTCTGAATCCCACTTGTCCTTCCTCTTAATTTTTGCCTCTTCCTGGAAGCCTTCTTTAATTTATGCCTCCTCTGTATTCCTATAGGCCTTCCTATCTATAAGTTGCTTCACTGAGTAATTTTGCTGTGCAATTTTTTGTTGTTGAAGGTCACAGATTGTATCTCCAACCTCTGTGTCTCATTATGATATCTTGTTCATGGTGTTGCCTACATAATTAACACTTGCATGAATATTTTCTTATTGAAGCCAAATCATGAAATGTGAGGGGTCTTGAAGGTTATTTAATCCAAACTCCCTTTGAGTATTTGAACCTATATCCTCCCCCAGAGTTACTTGGCCTCTACTTGTATGCCTCCAGTGATGGGAGGCTTGCTACTTATTGGGATAGTCCATTTCTTTTCCCAGTAGCTCTGAAAGAACATTAGATCTCACTGTGTTAACCTCTGTTCTCCATAGCTTTTAGTAATTAGTTCGTATTGTATACTTTGGGACCCCACAGAACTCGTCTATTTTTTTTCCCACCTGCAAAGTCTTCACGTTTTTATAGACAGCTCTCATATCCTCCACAATTCTCTTTTCCGGCTATTTGCCTTCAGCAAATATGGTCATCTAGCTAACTTGCTGCTCTTCTGTGCATGATTCTCTTTGCCAAAGTCCATCTCACAGTAGAGTAACTAAGAAAAGACCTAACTCACCAAGCATGGCAAGATTATCTATCTTACAGAGGGTAGACACCCTCTCCTGTATTTTGAGAGCTACACTTCTGTTAATGAAAACTCAGAGAGAATCTACTTTTGAAGCAACCACTCTTGCCTCACATTGTGTTGACTGTCCACTTAAACTCCTAACTTTTAGTCTCACCACCCCATCTCTGGCTGGTACAGTTGTTTCCCAGGCCTTATGTTGACCCTGACACATCCCATCTACCTTCCTTTCTCATAGCTGTCTCCTTTCCCATCACCTTTCCCATCGGAGCTTTCTGGGCCCCTGCCCAGAGCTAACTTCAACCTTGTTTCACTCTCCACCCTTTCTAGCACAGACACTCCCAGGAAACCCAGCTGTATCACAAAACAGGGTAGGAAAAAGGCCTGGGAAGACGATGCCACCTTCATCCGCTTGGATTCGCTACGGGATTTGTAGCAGAACTCGATTAAGGCAACCAGCATGGCTAGTCCAAGTCCTCCAATCAGGATGTAGAACACGCCTGCCACATTGCTGAGGCTCAGAGCACTTGTCTTGTCCTAGGAAGGGGAGGAGGGAAGGGGGCAGGGGGAAGAGTAAAGTGAGCCAAAAGGCTAGAGACCATCCAAGCAACAGCATTTTTACACACATACACTCAACCCCATCACCCTTTTTAACATTCAAAATAGTCGGAGAGGCTTTTTATTCATTGATAGAGTGCTAAATATTCCTAGGAAAAAGGTGTGTGTGTGTGTGTGTGTGTGTGTGTGACAATATCCCAAAGCATCCCTGATTATATTTAATTTATAATTACGTTTCCCTCCCTCCTTCCTCCACAATGCCTGTTCTGGGGCAAGAGGCACCACAAGAAATTCAGGCAGCTTCTACCAAAATCTGCATCCTTGAGCTTACCCTATTCTTTCAGAGAATGTGTGCCTCCCTTTCTAGTTCAGTTCCTGTCCCCCACCTCTCTGTTGTGCAAAGCATCGGCCTTGCTTATTGTTTATGTCTCTGAGTGTTTTTCTGAGTTGGCACTTAAAGTGAACTTTTCCCTAGATGTACGTTTAATTTCAATTTAATAAGAGAGTTATTGTACACATAATAAAGACCAATCAATGTGTACTTTTACTGATCTGAGTCTCAATCTAGGGAAAAAAGAAAACGGGGGGGGGGTCTTAGAATAGTAAAAAGGCACTTGGATAGAAAAAGGGCTCTATTAAATCCTAGTAATTATGTTTAATTGGTGTCATTTTTCTGTTGGAGGTGCTTGCTAAAAGACATCGTAGGCAGACTCAGGTAGCTGAATTTAGAAATCTCTGGTGCCTACAGTAAAAGATCTTACACTGGTTCTGGATGAACAAAGTCATGGAACAGACTAATTCCCAGGGCTGGGGGATAAGTACCCATGTCCAGTAGTGGGTAGACAGAGCTCACTTTGTGGGGCCTGAGAAAGGCCATCAGTGTGGTGAGACTGTCCCTGCATTCTGTCACCTCCAGTCAGGTTCAAACTGTCGGACTGAGGAAACTGGTGGTCAGGGTGAGAGTTATAGCTCAGAGAGAGGCGGAAAGTGCTCAGTCAAAATTTTGACACAGGCAAGTGAATGTCTTTAAATCTTCAAAGAATAATCATTCTTAGAGTCATGGTGGCTCTAACATCTTCGTTTATATTGTTTGCTCGTGTACAACAAGTTTCTCATTGAATTAAAATGAAATGCACACTTCAGCTGGCACAGGTACACACCATGGTTGGTTAGTTGGTAACAATGGATAGGATATAGCTTTTATGTCTCTGTATGTATTCTTTTTCAGGTGAGGATGGAGGCAAGCCAAACAAAAGGTGAACTGTCTTGCCCTAGGGACTCCTTGGACATCTGCCTATTAAGATGTGGACGTGTGGAAAGGAGTTTGCTATGGACTAAGTCAGTGGGCTCTGCCCTAGTTCCACTTGGTGCATTGTACAGGATTCAGCAGGGCTGAGCTTGGGGACTGCAGCTGGCAAATAGGAGCATGCCTTCCCTCCCCAGAAGCAGCACTAGCTAGCAGAGCTGTAGGATTATCTAAAGCACACCCCTTTGGTGGCTTCCTGTATTGCTAAAGCAGATGGCTCTTGAATATGGGTTACACTTGGCAAGGCATATTCTGGCTGTGGAAGCAGTGGAAATGATTCTTCCAAAGGGTAGAATTTCTCCTGCTCTGGTATAATGGCCTGATAAGGGATATGCCCAAAATGCTTGGTTCAAGAGTTGGCTAGACAAGTAAATCCCCACTTGGTGTGGTTTTTCAGAACACTCAAAATGTCTCCCTGTTTGTCATTCAGGAGGTCTGTAATTCTGTTTCAGAGACCAGGATTTATGGTCAGTAGAAGTTCCTATAAAACTCGTCTGTGTGGGGGGAAAATTTTTTTTTTTAAAAACCAAACCAACTTTTCTGTATAGATGGGGCTAGGGGTAAGGTGGGGAGGCATGTTAATGTGTCATCAGTTCACACCTTAGAAAAGAGTGGTTGACAGTGATGCTCAGAGGGAGTGGATGAGGAACAGGCCTGGGGGAAGGTGGTGCGCAGGAAGCTGGGAGGAAAGAAAGAAGTCCTGTTGGCTTCACATGCTAATCAGCCTTTCAATAGCTGAAGTGCACCTTGCCTCCTTGGCCACCAACACTTTGTGTTTTCTTCCTCATGGTCTTTTCAAGTTCACCTTGGTTGACGATTGTCTTCAAGGATAAGGGAGTAGTGGGCATCCTTTTTTTTTTTTTTTTTTTTTTTTTTTTTTTTTTTTTTGGTCACTCTCTTCAAGAAACCCTAAGAGGGCATCTACCTCCTTGGCCATAGAGGGTGGGGTGTCTATTTCTGGTATACCTGGGAAGGAAGCAGGATGAGATCTTCATATGAAAGTAGGGATAAAGGGCATATTGATGTAATGGCAGAAGAAGAAACATTCAGTGGCTGAGCACTTGACTATGTCTGGAGGTGGAGAGCATCTTTCACTTCTGAAGGAGGTCTCTGGCCTACAGAGACCGCAATGTGTGTTGGAGGACACATCCCATACAAACAGAGAGGGTAGCCACATGGTATGGGGAGTTCCACCTCTTGCAGGACAGACAGTGCCACTCATCCCCTTCTTATGTCAACACAGGGGGTGAGGGAAAGACTTCTGGAATCAAGGGGGCACCCGGGACCTTTCCCTACCTGTATTAGGAAGCAAACTTAGATGTAGCACGACTGTCTAATCTGGCATAATGTGATAGGGTGTGGAATGAAAGGCTGGTGTTGCTATTTTCTTAGCTCGCAAAGTTGGGGAGTTAACATTTAGCCAAGGTTTTATGATATCCCTTATGTGTACCATTTGCTTTTTGATCACACCAACTTTAGTTCTTTCAAAGGAGGCCCGAGGCCACGGTCTTCTGTTCAGTTGCCTTTAATGACTCTCTTTGACTCACTCTGGGAATATTATGGGATATCCAGGAGCAGGGTTAAAAATCCACTTTTAATCAGACCAGAGCTCTGATTCCTCCATACAAGAGGATGTGTTTCTTCATGGACTTATGTATGAACAGCTGTGTTCATGTTTCCTGGGAAAGCTACAAGCTTCCCAGATATGACCAGGGAGAGAGAAAAGCTAGAACCTGAGTCTTTTGAGCACCCTTCTGGGGGACTCCATTCTCCTCCCATCCCATAGCAGCTGTACTCCCAAAAGCCAGGCAGCTTGTTGGTGGGAGTGAAAAAGTCACAACTTGTCTTCTGCCAGGAGGGAGGGAAGAGAGTGACAGCACTGAGAAGAATGACAGGTGAAAAGAAAACCCCAAAAAATCCATCTTTCAGAATTGTTGGGCTTGTTGTCATGGTGATGAGCACCCCCCCTTCATCCATCCCCCTTAACCTGTTGTCTTGAATTGTCGCCTCCCTCATGTGGAAGGGAGAGGTTTTAATTTTCACATTTTTTCTTGCTCTTCCCACATAATGGGGGACTGTCCCAGACTCCCTCTGTGTTTCTGAGCCAACATCCCGTCCAAGAATATGGGGCTGGCTTAAGTCTTCATGAAGAGGTTTGAGCCAGGCCTGAGCAAGAGGGACTTGAAGCTTTTTTTTAATGGCTTAAGTAGAAAGTTCCAAGGAGAAGCCAAAGCCTTTGGCCATAGGACCATTCCCTCCCATAGAGACTGGTGGTGCCCATCATCCAAGGCCTGCTAAGTCTGGACCAAGCCTTCAGGTTTCTCCAACTGCTTCTTATCTTCCTGTTAAGAGTGTGAACTCCTATAAAGCAAAGCCTCCAGCTCCTGCTCTTCTTTCCATTCCATAGGAATTCCACACATTTTCTGATGTCTGTACATTTGGACTTTTAGGGGCTGCCTTCAATTGTTTCACATGCTGCATGTGTGACCTGACTTGCCTTTCAGGGTCTAGAGAGAAGTCCAACCCATTTCCTACCTATTAGCCTTCCTGCTATAATAGGCTTTCATTTGTGCTTTTCCAGAACTTGGATTTTTAGCCCATGAGCCATTTTCCCGAGTGGTTGATTATTTCCTAGGAATAGAGACTCAGTAGTTGGCTAGGCTCACTTACTAGCTAGGACCAAAGTGAGGAAGCTACGGGGAGGTGGATTTGATTCAACTAAGGAAGATCTTTTGATTCAGTAGAGCTGTCCAAATGTGGAATGTTTTGCCATGGATGGTGGTGAGTACGCCAAACATAGATGCATTCAGGAAAAAACTGATGGGGTCATCTAAGGGATTCGAGCACTAGATAGTTAGATGAAGTGACCTTTGACACTCACCCCAACCCCAAGAGATTTGGGGCATCTGAGGAGTTCCTAGAGGGCCTGAGATCATTGAGCCTCTTATAAATTCTCCCTAGAGACTAACTTCTTTAGGGGATGCAAAAAAGGAACTCACGTTAATTGGCAACTTCTGCTGTTTCCATTTCCAATCTAGGCCAGTTCCCCAGCCTGCATATTTTCCCCAAGAGCAACACAGGATGAGAATCGGCCCATTGTACTAATAATTGGCAAGGCGAATGCTGTGAAAGTAAGGGTTGTGGGGGCGGCTCTTGTCAGCAGTGTGTGCTCAGGGACTGGCTGCTGTACAATGCACCACAGAACATCCTGACTTGAAACAAAACTGCAGCAGAGAACTCAAGGAGATGGTATGGGTCTTGGAGGGGAACCCAGCTAGCTGAAGCTGAGGCCTCTTCTATAGTGGGGGGAATTTTCCAAAACATAGGCATTAGTCTGGGATAAAGTGGGCATCCCTGTAGGAGGCCTTCACTGTGAGCAGAATATCTGTGTGAAATATGCATTGGAGAGCTGAGGTCTTGTGTGTCAAAAGAAAATGGATCCTGCTGTCCCCCGAGGTGCTCTTGGCTTGTGGACCCAAAGCACGAGTTTTAATGGAAGAATCTTTGTTTGTGTCTAGTCCCTTCTCCTAGGGCAGTGGTGGGAGACCTAGGATGTGTGGTTTAGGGGCATTGGGGAGGACCTAAAGTGTTTCCACATTCAATCTGTGATCTAGGTAATTGCTGTACGTTGCCCATGTCATCTTGGAACACACATAACTCCTAGGAGATTCACCCTGAAGTCACTGGTTCTCTCTAGGCCACTGTCTGCTCTGCCTTACAGAGGCTGGGAACCCTGACCCTGAACAGGATTCTAGCTGGAGCCAGAAGCCTCCAGGGTTTGTGGGGGATGAATGACTTCCACATCTCTTTGTCTCAAGGATATATCCCCCACCCGTGTCTTTCTTACAATGCCTTTTGGGGGTGTCTTTAGTGCAGGAGCCTATAGAGTGTAGGTTGAGGAAGTGAGTGGAGCAGAGCATCACTGTATGATTCCCAGGTCTTTCCAGGTGGCCAGTGCTCTTTATGTGAGGGGGCATGGATAGGAGCTTGCACACAGTGCAAGGA